AAAGAGGCCCGGCAAAGGGAACAGGATTTTGAAAGGTAAAACTTATTTTTTTTTATAGTTAAGGTAAAGAAATTTGAAAGTGGGGAATTGTCCCCCCCCCCCCCACTTTATCTCCCTGAGAGCTGGGGAAGGCTTTCTCAAATTACATTTCTGTCCCAGACTCAGATTTTTTTTATTGACTGTTGTCTTGATTGCAGCCCTTCCTCCTTCAAGGTTATTTCTACTGCCCATTTCATCTTCCAGTTGTTTTGTTTGTTGGTCTTACCAATGGAACCAACCTGTGTCTCATCTTTAAACCACATGCTGATAACTCCTCATTTTCCAGCTCAGTCTGGGAACTCACTTAGCTTTTGGGGGATCCTCAGAGGTTAAACAACATACACGTTTCCTGAGGTGAGCCTATCCAATATACTATAGCACAAATGTCCCCAACCACCTGGTCCCTTTTAGGAAGTCTTGGACTATAATTCCCGCCACCTCCAGCCACCAGACTGATTATGGGAGTTGGAGTTGAAGATGACACCTCTCAAGCATAATGATAGGCTGGGTTTCCCATGAGGGAGAGTGTCATGTTTTTAAGGGGTGGAGCTCATTTATAACAACAAAGAGGACATGCACATGTTTTCACAGCACACCAGCTTTCCTGGGAACTCATGAGTGAAACATGAACCTCATGTTCCTTGTGACAGCACTGTCATGCAACAGAGATGGCTCAGTAAACGTTTTCTTGCTGGTGTTGGGTCTTGGACTTCAGATCATCAACCAGGAGGAACAAATCTGCATGGAGCCACTAAAATTCTAGACAGCTGTCATAAGACCAATGGAAGGGGACCGGAGGTGATAGGAAGAAATCTACAACTTTTTTTGCCTGGTGGGCACAACTCGTATTTGATGGCACTTTGTGGGCAGTACAATTTTCATGGATGGGGCTTTCTGATTTAGAAAGATTAGTGGCACGGCTTGTTGAACAACCACAAGGTCACAGGCACCTCAAGCTTAGAGAATACAGAAGAACACTGTAATTGATGACAATGATTGAAGTCCATGGAAGCCTACAATTAGATGCATTATCTTATGTCTTCCGGTCTCCTGAGGATTTCTAGAGACATCTCTAAGCCTCTGACCATCCTCATTATTTCATTTATTACTTGACTATTGCTCTAGTTAATGTTGACTTATTCTCGGAGGGTATATAAGTGAACCAGCAATACAGCTGGAGCTTAGGAATATTACAAAATTATTGTACCTGGAGATTCAACCTATTCTGGGCTCACATCCCCCCAAACATTTCAGATCATCTTTTCCTGAATTGGCTCTGGACATGAGCTGAGGTTACAGTTCTCACCATTTCCAACCCCTTAAAAAAAAAAGCCCAGGGGCAGGGGCAGTGGATTGTGGTTATTGTAGTCCCCAAAGTTTTGGGCTGTGCCAGGTTAGGGGAGGCCGGTTTGGACCGGCAGACCAGCCCCGTGGCGTGCTTCTGAAGCCGAAGGCAAAATGTGAAGTTATCCACTAGGACGAAGCGAACATTTGTCCTGCGCCGGGCGCAGCGGCGCTGCCTCGTTCGCCTGCCCGCGAGGACGCCACAAGCCAGGAACAAAAACAAAGCGTTGCAGCCTGGCGCAGACAGATGTGCGCTCGGACAAAGCATCCCGCGTTGTTGGCGGGGGTACGGTTGCTATTATTTGCAAAACTCTGTCTGTCTGTCTGTCTAGGAAATACGCGTCCGATCCCAGATCCGCTTCTCCCCCGGTTCCCGCTCCCTCCCCCTGCCCTGCCCCGAGCGCCCCCCCCCCGCCACGGTTCCCACTCCGCACGGACCCAACCCTCACCTGTTCCGCTCGTTGACGCAGCCGCCGTGGTCCTTCCCGTCCAGGAACCGGGTCCAGCCGTCCGCCGTCTTCACCCAGTTCTGCCCCGGCGATCGCCAGTCCTGCCCCAGAAAAGGCATCGCGGATAGCCCGAAAGAGGAGGACGCCGGAAAAAAGCGCAGGAGCGCGCGCCTTTGGGTGTCTCCAAAGCAGAAGCGCTAACGGGGGCTCCGCGGCCAGAAGGAGCCCCGAAGATGCCGCCTGAACTCGACGCTTGGGATCTTTAGGACGCTCCTTTCCCTCCGTCCCTTGACATCCAGGCCCCTCGATCGCTTCTCTGCCCGGGCTCCAGCCGCCTCTGTATTTATCCGGGACCGCTGGTGCCTCTTTGTTGCCGGAAGAAGCGCGCAAACTCCGCCCCGCGCTTGGGGAGGGGGGACACGTGGCTTTGTTGATGGCTGCTTCTCGGGATCCGAGCGAGCGACCGCGAAAGCCTCTCCGAGGGATTGGGGGGGGGGGGGGGG